GAAGCATTGTAAAAACCCGTAAACATTATACAAACCTTATAAAACTTGTAAACGTGTTGTGACCAGAAATTGTTTGATTCATTGGAACCCAGTTTTCTTTAAGAACTTCGTGACTTGGTCTGTTTTTCAAAGACTCTGTAAAAATTGTTGCCCCAAAATATCAGCACTGCACACCCCCACGGGACTTGGAATGCAATCCCTTTTACTTTTTTTTTTTTTTTTTTTTTTTTTTTAAACTGGGTCTCTCTGTCACTCAGGCTAGAGTGCAGTAAGAACCATCATAGCTAACTACAGCTTTGACCTACTGGGCTCAAGTGATCCTCCTGCCTCAGCCTCCTGAGTAGCTAGGACTACAGGTGTGTGCTACCATGCCTGGCTAATTAAAAAAAAATTTTTTTAAGAGATGGGATCCCTCCCTTTTTACACTTAAATCAGAAATTGTTCACATGGTGGTTGCTTGTGGCAAAATGGAGTTCGAATTTTGCTCTCCTATTGCTGTAATTCTGCTAGCAATCTATTGAGGTGAAACTTGGGATTTGACTCTTCAGCAAGCAGCAAATGACCTAGTAACTCAGGGACAACTATTTTTGAACTTCAAGTGCCACTTTAATGCAGTTGTTTTGATAAAACCATGTGGGTTTTTTTTTTAGGGCTAGCTCTAGGGGAGTGGAAGTGAGAGCCAGGAATGAGTGTGTCTCTCTTCGCGTGCTTGTCCACCTGGTGCCCTGACTGTGCCACACTGAAACACAGGCCCACGTAGATGTTACAACTTCCCTTCCTCTGTCAGAGATGTCATCTGTGCCTTTCTCAGTGTACATCTGATAATGTAAATTTAAATGCCTCTATGTTTGATATGAAAGCCACACTCAGATGACACTGCACCAGGGGGCTTTTCCTCCACCAGCACCTCACCATCAGTGTGAAGTGATTCTTCTCTGCTTCAGGAAAAGGATTTTCCTCCAGAACTTGTGCCAACATCTTCCTAGATCTTACGGATTGTAGAACTGTTGGCCATTTCCTAAATTTATTCCAAATTCTTGTAGAGGCATATAGATTTCAGTCTGTGCTCGTATGGGATAGATGATCTCGGTGGCTTTTTGGCCTCTTGAGTTTAAAATCCTTGTCATTATAAGGTAATGTTTGTGAGGTTATTCCACTAGTACTGTGATCATGTGGGTGTCGTCATATCTTTAACGGCCTTCATTCTCGGTTGTGAAATTTAATTTTACATGCTCACTCACCCTCTACAAAAATCTGCCCACTTTGGGCTGTGGTGCCTGTGTATCTTTGCCCCTCTGGTCTCCAGTTGGTGGAATTACCTTTTTTGTACTGCCACTTCTCAGCATCTTTGAAATCTGACATAATGTTGCTTCATTCCAGTTTTTTTTTTTTTTTTTTTTTTTAGTTCTGTAATTTGTTGATTGTATTTAACTATGTGAGTTCTGTTGTGATGTTTACTGTATTGTAAAGCACCTCATTCATGTGATGGGTGCTCTAAAATCAATAAATGATGACTTAGAGGCTGTATCATGAGCTATTTTGGTTTTAGGATGCAGGTCTCAAAACCAAGTTGTGAGATTCTTTCTGTATAAACAGCACATGAACCTGGCTCTACCATAAAGATAAGCTAAAAGATGAGGAACCCAGACTCCAGTGTGGACTGGAATAGACTAGGTAGGCATCATCAGTCATCACCTCCTGTCCTCTAAATAGGTGGAGAAACACCCAAATACCTGCCCAGGGCGATTTAGTAAGTTACTGACAAAAGAGGCAAGACCTAGTAGTAGAGTGCCTTCTTTTCTTTACAAGAGAGACAAGATATCAGCATCCACTTTTATCCTGAATCCTTACAAATACTTCATACGGAGTTAGCATTAGGTGTTGAAAGCTTGTTTGTCCTTGATATAAATCACTAATAGACTGTTAGGGCCTCTTCCTTACAAACTGAGAAACGAACATGGAGCCAGACCTCTTATTCAGCTAAATAATCAACAAGAAAATCCCCTGAGAGTTTTGGGAAGATCAAGGATTATTTCCAGAGTGTAAATTTCCTGATAAATATATTTAGAATCAACTGTTGTGGAAGGGTCTAGATGATACACCAAACTTACATCAGTTACGGACAGAATTAGTATTAGCCAAAACGTTTTATTTGCATGCTCCTTCAAATGCAAATGAACAGGTTTTTGATGGTGTGTGCAAAGCACTAGGTTTCAAGAGAGTTGCTTTTCTGCTCCCTCGTGGGATAGGGCTAATAACCACCTTATCACAAACCCTTTGGCTTTGGTGAAGCCCACAACCTTGCCAGGATTCAGTTCGCAGATCGAATTCTTTTCTGGGTGTGGCATTTCAGTTCAGTTTCAGATGTGTGTAATCTGGCTGCCAAGGTAGGATTAGCCTTTTTGGCTTGTTGGCACTCCTCACTGAGCTCCAGTGAAATGGTTAAAAGAATTTGAATTCTGTTCACATAGGTAAATAAACTGAAGGAAAAGCCTTTCACAAAAGGCAGCCAAACACATCTTCTAAGACAGGAGCTGCACAGAAAGTCCTGGGCAAGATACTTGATTTTTTTCCCTCTTCTCAGCGGTATCCAGTAGGAATAAATACACTAGCACCTTTGTGTTCACAGTAACTTCCATTTATTCCCAACAAGAGCACTGGAAATCAAGTTTCTGTTCGTTGAGCCTCTCTTTTGCGGCAAGCTTGTGCTGTGTGTTTTTCCTAAAGGTTCTAGTTAAATTCTTATAAGAAGCTTCCACAGTAATCATTTGTCACGAGGAAGCAGCTTCAGGCTGATTTGCCATCACTGTAAAGCACACAGGTTGCATGGCTGGGATTCAGTTCCACCACCTTCCTGACGTACTGGGTGCTGTCAGCCCTTCTTCACAGGTGAGGAGACCAGAGCTCAGGAACACTGACTTTTCTAGGGTCATTCAGAGCGTGGATGTGTTGGGCCTGCTGCTTGATCCAATTCATCGGACTCCCAGTGTAAATTTCCTCCCTCTTCCCACCCTGCCGTGATAGTGCACTGCCTCCAGAGTCTGTTCCCCTGCGCTCTTGAAGCTAAGGCAGACAGCATTTATTCCCTTCTTCTTCTTCATGCTCCTTGCCTGAGACAGCACCACACTACGTTCCTGTGAATCTGACTGGCAAAACCTGAAGTGGGTTTAAAATGCACCATGTTCAGTGCTCAGCTTTTTCAAGATGTCTGTATTTCTGGTTATAGCTAATGTGAGAGCTCCCTCCAAACCTGTTGCATGTTGTAGTTTACTGAGTACTACAAGTGCTTTATTTCACAGGCTTTACGGACTTAACGTTCTGTGTAACTCAGGGGTTACAAGCCTGTAAGAGTCCCCTCAAAAGACAAGGGCCTGCTGGGCGCAGGTGGCTCACGCCTATAATCCCAGCACTTCGGGAGGCTGAGGAGGGTGGATCACGAGGTCTGGAGTTTGAGACCAGCCTGGCCAATATGGTAAACCCCATCTCTACTAAACATACAAAAATTAGCTGGGCATGGTGGTGCGTGCCCGTAATCCAACTACTCAGGAGGCTGAGGCAGGAGAATTGCCTGAACCCAGGAGGCGGAGGTTGCTGTGAGCCGAGATCGTGCTACTGCACTCCAACCTGGGCGACAGAGCAAGACTCTGTCTCCCCAATCCCCCGCCAAAAATAAAACACGGGCTCAGGGATACCATGAAGTCCTTTTTAAGAGGGGTACATTCGCCTCTGGTAGAGGGCTCCTTAGGGCGAGGTTGGGATGAAGAGGCATTCAAGCCCCTGAGCTCATCCATCCCTTCAGGTGAGTTCTTTGATCATGGGCATCTAGTCCAAGCACGCTCCGAAAGGGCACACGTTTGTTTATTCCTGCATGTGTGCTGCTCAAAGGGAGAGAGAGGCCTCTGGTTTTCTTTCTTTCTTTCTTTCTTTTTTTTTTGAGACGGAGTTTCGCTCTTGTTACCCAGGCTGGAGTGCAATGGCGCGATCTCGGCTCACCGCAACCTCCGCCTCCTGGGCTCAGGCAATTCTCCTGCCTCAGCCTCCTAAGTAGCTGGGATTATAGGCACGTGCCACCATGCCCAGCTAGTTTTTTGTATTTTTAGTAGAGACGGGGTTTCACCATGTTGACCAGGATGGTCTCGATCTCTCGACCTCGTGATCCACCCGCCTCGGCCTCCCAAAGTGCTGGGATTACAGGCTTGAGCCACCGCGCCCGGCCAGGCCTCTGGTTTTCATCAAATCCTCAAAGGGGGCCATGGCCCTCCAAATCTTTAGGAACCACTAATTCTAGTTCAATTTCCTCTTGAAACTGAGGTAGACTCAGATGCGGCATGAGGCTGGCAAGGACTTGCCCATAATCAACACAGCAAGTCAGCTGCAGAGCCAACCCCGAACTCGGGTCTCCACTCCCAGAAGAGCACACCATGGAAAACACCTCTTCAAACATTCCGAGCACCTGCTATATTCCAGACTCCAGGCTGGTGCTGCTGAGGTTAATGACAGTCACCATGCCAAATCAGGAATCGGCCATGACAGACCTCTACAACTTTCATGTCGTTTTTATGTTACGACCCGGGCCATATTTGCAGGGTACTCCACGATAGACAGAGCCCCAGAGGCTCACCGTTGGGCACTCCTATAAACCGTTCTCAACAGAGAGGGACGCTCGAGTGACGGCACTTCCACGGAGCCTGGCAAGTTGTCCCCCACCCTTCTTTTTGCCTCAGTGTGGCTGGCTCAGGGCAGCGCCCCCAAGCACCTCCCTACCCATACCACCTCCGCGCCTTTCGTCTCCTGCCGCAATCGGAAGGCTTACACATTTCAACACCGTCTCTCATCTCCCAGGTATCTGTCAGCCAGAATGCCTACGCTTCAAAACGACTCCCGCGGAGTCCGGCTCACCCCCTCAGCTTTCATTCAGCCCTTTCCTTCCGTCGGCTCCGCCCTTGGCCGCGCCTCCCAGGACTCTCGCGAGACTTGGTGCCTCGGTTCCGTGCCGCCCCGGCTCATCCGCGCACTTCTCGCGAGGCCGGAGGTAGTGCCGGGTCAGACATGGCGGAAGGTAGGGTTTCTGTGGAGCCGCGCGGGAAGACGCGGAGCTGTAGGGGCGCTGCCAGCCGGGCGAAGCTGCCCTGGGAGGGGACGGCCGGGCGTGGTTGCATGGGGTCCCCGCGGGTCTCGCGAGCCTTCCTTTCCAGCCTCCCCAGACCTCCGCGGGCCGGGGTCCGGAGTTCGGTTCCTATGGCAACGCCCCTCCCGCGAGACGGACCCCGCGGGACTGCGGCCGCCTGCGGAGCGGGGCTGGGAGGTCCCGTGCCGGTGCTGCGTGCAGCCGCGGGGCCAGGGGGCAGCGGGGGAGGCTCTCTAGTGCCGGGACGCCGGGGGAAGTAAGCTTTCTCCGTAGGAAATCGAAACTGCTGTCCTGGCACGTCCTGCATCCGGAAGGGGTTCCTCCCTCGCCTGCGGAAGAGCGTGGGACTCCTCGGGCTGGGCTGGGCTGGGCTGGGGTGGGCTGGGGTGGCGTGGGGGCGAGGCAGGGCCGAGCTGGCCCACGCGGCAGGCGGGCGCACCGGCGGCTCCGGCTCCGCAGCAGCCCCTGCCTTCAGGCCAGGCGTGCTGAAGACGGGAGGAAGGGGTTTGCGGGAACGGAGTTGGCCAAGGTCACATTGCTCGCTAGAGGGCCGCTCAGACCAGACCTCTGTGCCTTTGCCTCCCAGTCCAGTGCCCACTCTCTGGTCTGGTGCACTTTTCATGACATTGCAGGTTAAGGCACTCTGGTCTCTCAGGGTCGGCCTCCCTTAATGTAGCAGTAATTAGAAGTCTTCATTGTCAAAGCCTCATTGTACATGTAGGGGGAAAGAAGGCCCAGAGACAGGGAGTTACCTTTTAAGGACTGTGCAGCGACACTGCTGGGTCTAGCCAGCACGCTTCTCTTTACCCCGTCATTGGAGAAAAATATTTCTTCTTTGACTTTTGTTTGAGTGACTGCAGTGTGCTTGGCCACGACCTGTCCTGTTGGTTTTGAGCTTTGACTGTACTCATCACTTAATAGATCTTAGATTTGGACACACATGACAGTTGGTCGCCATTTCTCATTTGCTTTAAACTTCAGAACAACCTCGTGAAGGAGGCCTGGCGTGTGCATTTGCCCTTTATTGATAAAGGAATGTAGGCAAAGTTACAGAGATAGCTGGGACTGGCATCCAGTTGGTTTTGGGGTGTGTGTGTGTGTGTGTGTGTGTGTAGACAAGGTCTTGGCCCAGTGTTGCGGCTCGCGCCTGTAATGTCAGCGCTTTGGGAGGCCGAGGTGGGAGGATCGCTTGAGGCCAGGAGTTTAAGACCAACCTGGCAACATGGGGAAATCTTGTACCTACAAAAAAAAAAAAAAAATACAAAAGTTACCCAGGTGTGGTGGCACCTGCCTGTAATTCCAGCTACTTAGGCACGAACTACTAGGGAGGTGGGAGGATCGCTTGAACCCGGGAGGCGGAGGTTGCAGTGAACTCCACCAGCCTGGGCGACAGAGTAAGAGCTTGTCTTAAAAAAGAGAGAGACTAGTGTGAGCCACTGCACTCAGCTTAAATTTAATTTCTTATGACATAGCACAACTCGCATTTCCAGGCAGAATCTTCTGTTTTTGCATGTGAATGTTAAAGCTTGCAAAACAATAAAATGACTTTTATATTGTGTTTAAAAAAAAAAAAGAAAAGAAAAGAAAGAAAGAGAGACTAGGTCTCATTGTGTTGCCCAGGTTGGTCTTAAACTCTTGGTCTCAAGCAGTCCACCTGCCTTGGCCTGTCAAAGTGCTGGGGTTACAGGCGGGAGCCATCGCGTGTGGCAGGCACTGTTTTTGTCTATCCCTCCCTGGACGGGGAAACTTTTGGTGAATGTTGCCTGAAAGCAGAGAAGTAAGAAAAGGAGCAAAAAGCTAAGACAGTCCCTGAAGTTACTTTTTGGGTAAATCACAGAGTGTTGTTTTATGCAGCAGACAGCTGTTGCCCACGGCAGTGAGGTGGGTAGGAAGGTTCAGGAAGGCCTTCTGTGAGGTAATGGGTAGTCTGGTGCTTTTACACTAGCAAGGTAAGTTGAATGTTTTGGGAATACGTTACCAAGGTTGAGATTGTGGAGGGCGGCTGGTTTTTCACTTAACACCTGCTGTGCTTTGCAGTCAGGTTCCAGCCCTGAGGAGCCACAGGCTGAGTCAGTATATTCATCATCCAGCAAGTGCCTTGAGAGACATCTTGCCAGTGGGGTATCTCTCCTTAAAGACACAAAGAAAACATTCTTTCAAGGTTAAATTAGCAGAGAGCTAGGTAAGCAGTCATGAAGTTCTGAATGCAGTCTTTCTTTTCTTTTCTCTTTTGTTTTCTTTCTTGACGGAGTCAGAGTCTCATTTGCCCAGGCTGAAGTGCAGTGGCGCGATCTTGGCTCACCGCAACCTCTACCTCCCGGGTTCAAGCGATTCTCCTGCCTCAGCCTCCTGAGTAGCTGGGATTGCAGGCACCCGCCATCATCCCTGGCTAATTTTTGTATTTTTGTAGAGACAGGGTTTCACTAAGTTGGCCAGGGTCTTGAACTCCTGATCTCAGGTGATCTGCCTGCCTTGGCCTCCCAAAGTGCTGGGATTACAGGCCTGAGACACTACGCACTGCGAAGTTTTTCTTTGACCTTTGCCATGACCTTTGCTGCAGTTTCCCTTTTACCTTTTTAGTGTCCCAACTTTTTGTTGTGATTTAGCTTTTTAGAAACAATGTTGCGAACTAGGACTAGGAGGCATTCTGGGCCATTTAGCTCCTTAACCTCCTTTTACCTTTTTAGTGTCCCAACTTTTTGTTGTGATTTAGCTTTTTAGAAACAATGTTGCGAACTAGGACTAGGAGGCATTCTGGGCCATTTAGCTCCTTAACCTGAAGGTGCTTTCCTGGGATATTAAGACTGCTTGTGCTTTAACCAGATTCTCAGAGCCCACTGTGCTTGTTTGGAGAGACTCATTTAAATATAAATAAATAGCAGATACCTATGTCACATAATGGTTGAATGATCTGTAAGCACACCCAATGGAAACGTCCCTGATAGTGGTTGGTAGGTAGTGTGAGAATGTGGGAGATGGTGTCTAGGAATAGTAAACAGAACTTTGAGAGAGTGGGTATAAAGCTGCTTTTGTGGCTTGTTTAGAGGACAGCCTTCTTTCCTTCCATCTATCCATGGCTATTGATTTGACCATATATATTTAGTGAAGTCTGTCCTAAAATTAGTGTTGTTTCCCCACTCTGCTTCTCTGTGGCTATCCTGCTAATCTAAGCTTCATTTGTAGTCTTTTTTTTTTTTTTTTTTTTTTTTTTGAGACGGAGTTTCGCTCTTGTTACCCAGGCTGGGGTGCAATGGCACGATCTCGGCTCACCGCAACCTCCGCCTCCTGGGTTCAGGCAATTCTCCTGCATCAGCCTCCTGAGTAGCTGGGATTACAGGCACGCACCACCATGCCCAGCTAATTTTTTGTATTTTTAGTAGAGATGGGGTTTCACCATGTTGACCGGGATGGTCTCGATCTCTTGACCTCATGATCCACCCGCCTCGGCCTCCCAAAGTGCTGGGATTACAAGCTTGAGCCACCGCGCCCGGCCGTTTTTTTTTTTTTTTTTTTTTTTTTTTTTTTTGAGACAGGATCTCACTCTGTCATCTAGGCTGGAGTGCCCTGGCATACTCACAGCTCACTGCAATGTCCACCTCCCAGGCTCAAGTAATTCTCTCACCTCAGCCTCCCAAGTAGCTGGGACTGCAGATGTGCGTGCCACCACATGCAGCAAATTTTTGTATTTTTTGTAGAGTCGGCGTTTTGCAGTGTTGTCCAGGCTAGTCTTGAACTCCTGGGTTCAAGCTGTTTGCCTGCCTGGGTCTCCCGAAGTGCTGGGATTACAGGTACAAGCCATTGTGCCCAGCCCTAAGCCTCCTTTGTAGCTCAGCTACTTCCAAAGGTTCCAATTAAAAGGTTGCTTTTAACTTTTCCTCCTAGATTTTGCTTTCTCACAGCCTAATTTCACACAGTTTCTAGCGTTCCCTTTAAAACAGGCGTCCCCAAACTATGGCCCGCGGGCTGCATGCGGCCCTCTGAGGCCATTTATCCGGCCCCCCGCTGCACTTCAGGAAGGGGCACCTCTTTCATTGGTGGTCAGTGAGAGGAGCACAGTATGTGGCGGCCCTCCAATGATCTGAGGGACAGTGAACTGGCTGGCCCCTTGTGTAAAAAGTTTGGGGGCACCTGCTTTAAAACATGAATCGGATCATGTCTCCCACTCTTCTTAATACACTGCCCCTCACTGCCCAACTCGCACAGTTCTCCCAAGGACCTTTAAGTGTTAACAGGGTCTGGCCCCCACTGAACACGTCCAGCTTCTTTCCTACTGCCCATTCACTGTGCCCCTGCCACACTGCCTTCCGCGCTGTCGTTTGTATGTGCCCAACATGCTGCTACCTCTGCGTCTTTGTCCCTGCAGTTCTCTTGGCCTTCAACAGCCCACCACTGTCTCCACACAGCTGACGCCCTTGTCTTCACTCGGTGTCTGTTCAGTTGTCATCTCATTAGAGAGCTTCCCTCCCTGGAATGTAAACCCATGAGGGCAGGGACTTGTTCTGTTTTGCTCACTCCTGTATCTCCCAGCTTAGAATCATGCCTGTGGTTGAAGGAATGTAGTGATCCTTATTGAGCATCACCTGCTAGCCATCAAGAAAAGTTGCTTGAGCCAGATGTGGTGGCTCAAGCCTGTAATCCCAGCACTTTGGGAGGCCAAGGCGGGTGGATCACGAGGTCAAGAGATCGAGACCATCCTGGTCAACATGGTGAAACCCCGTCTCTACTAAAAATACAAAAAATTAGCTGGGCATGGTGGCGCGTGCCTGTAATCCCAGCTACTAAGGAGGCTGAGGCAGGAGAATTGCCTGAACCCAGGAGGCGGAGGTTGCGGTGAGCCGAAATCATGCCATTGCACTCCAGCCTGGGTAATAAGAGCAAAACTCCGCCTCAAAAAAAAAAAAAAAAAAAAAGAAAAAAAAAAAGAAAAAAAA